ATTAGTCTTATTGTTTGATTCGTTAATATTAATCACTTCGAGTTCATTACCAGTGAAATCGTCGTTAAAAAATGAAGAATTGGAAAGTTTTATTAAACTAACGCTTCCTTTACTCAAACAAAACTTCATTAATAGACAAGAGTTGGACTCCTTTTACAATATGTTGGCTAATAATGAAGATATTCTTCTTAGAAGTGAACACAAAAAGAATTTAAAAAGTAATATATTTTAATATTAAATGATTTAAGTGTTTGCTTTCAGACTTAAAATTAGAAATTATAACTCCATATGAAATGTATGATAAAAATGTTAAAACACTTTATTGAAGGTTTGGATGCGTTTGAAAGTGTGAAGAGAAAGCACGACGATTACGGACACTTGCGGTTTGGTCGCAACGACCCGTCGGTCCCCCAATTGGACGCTAGAGTCAAATACAATGACCCCGATTACGGACACATGAGATTTGGTTAAAGCTTTTTCGTAACAAACTTATAATTTAAGAGAATATTTCACTCATAAAAATAATAAAAGTCCAAATAATAAGCTGTAAACTAATGTTTGTAATTATTTATTCATTACTCGATTTTATTAATCAAATTGTTTTGTTTCTCTCGATATATGACTTGTAATTGAATTAAATATTAATTAATAAAATATCAATAATAAGACTTAAAAGTCTTATTTTGTAATACATTTGAGACTAAATTAATTTAAATATTCTTTTAATTCAAGTAATAATCAATTAAAAGATAATTACTTTTAATTAAATCATTAAAAACTAATAATAAAAAAGTTTAAAAAAAAGAAAAACATTAATAAATGGCAAAAAAGACTGTAATTTCTAATAAAGTGTTGAATGAGTTGTGAAAGCAATGAATGAATGCATTGATTGAGTCGTGAATTGCGTTCAAAAAACTGTCGAAAGAAATAGTCGTTTGAGATATTGTTTAGTGAAGACAACACATCCCACAAGACATCGGACAACACATCCCAACACTTATTAAGACAAAGAGTGGACACAAATGGACAACAAATACAATATTTTGCACACATTTGAGCAAAAACTGAAGGAAAGCATCGAAAACAGCAAAACACAAGACGTATGAGAAAAATGTATTGCATTTTGAAAGCAATGACTGATTTGTGGTCTGATTTGATCCGTGTCTTAGAGTGTCATCAATGGTCTGAGGAATGCGTTAAACGAATCGCTGAACGAAAGACAACGGTTGGAGGCGTTGGCGGAGAAGGAGTCGGAAAAGTGTCACCATTTGAACGATTGATTTGATCCGTGTCTTAGAGTGTCATCAATGGTCTGAGGAATGCGTTAAACGAATCGCTGAACGAAAGACAACGGTTGGAGGCGTTGGCGGAGAAGGAGTCGGAAAAGTGTCACCATTTGAACGATTTGTTGACCAAACGGCAGATCGAGTCGAAGATTGCGATCGAAACGCAAACCATTGAATGGCGCGAAGAGAAGGCACTTCTGGACAATCAGATGAAACGATTGACGGATCAGATGAGTGACGCCAAACACAACGCCTGTCAGCTGCAGAACAAGTGCTCACAATTGCAACAATCGTTGGCCGCAAAGGACTCGGAGGTTGAGAAACAAAGCGCTTTCAAAACAACCATTGGCTCAGAGATCAGACAATTACACGAAACCATTGGTACTCTTCGGCAAGAGTTCAGCGCTTTGACCAAAACTCACGGCGAACTCAAGAATTTGAGTATATTTTTGCCATTTCTTGTGTCCATTTTTTGTGTTAATTATTGCTTTGTTTTTCAGTTCAAATGGAAAATGACATGAATTGCGGTCTAAAGAGACAATTGAAAGAACAATACGAAGAGTTGGTGTCCGTTAAGAACGAGAAGTGTTTACTCGAAACACAATTGTCTGAATTTAAGACAAAACTCAACGCCAATAGTGGTCTCCTGTATGAGAAAGACTTGCAATCATTGCGTTTGAATCAAACCAATGAAATGGTATTCATTTTAATCTTATTTCTGTTTTATTTAATTTGAATTTAATTTATTAAATGTATTCATGTTTTGTTCGTTTTAAGCAAAAACAAGAGATCAATGAATTGAGAGAACAGTTTAAAAAATTGATGACTGAAAATGAAAATCTCACCAAAAGTTTGGCTGAAAAAAGTGTCATTGAATTTAATCTAATGGCCGATAAGAATATGTCGGAGAATATTGTGGTGAATCTGGAGGACAGTGTCGACGGGAAGCCAGACATTGAAGATGTAAAGGAAGTGCCGGAGAGTCAGGAAATTGAAATTATTGAATAAATTTCTGGCCATTTGTCTTCTGCTGTATTTGATCATTACTTTCATTTGAATACTAATTAGTAATTACTCTTAATTTAATGACACTTTTGTAACTTTCCATTGATTTTTATTAAATAAAATGTGAATTTCAAAGATTAACAAATTTGCAATCAATTAGATTTTTCGTTAACTTAATATTAAGTATGAAAACAAATGTATTTTTTGTACTTAACTATTAGTAAAACAAATCATTTATAATCGTTTTTGGCATTTGTCGGGAATTGGATCTCAAATAATGGTATACTTTAATTGTATTACATATTTCACAATTTGTATTGTTTTTTCTTATTTATTTTCAGGTAATTGTAAACCAAATACAGTATAAATCAAATGTAAGTTAAATAGATATAACATTAGTGTTATTGTTTAACAAGTGTGTCAGGAATTACAATTACAATGAGATTCTTATCCATTTTGAAGCCACAGATCAGTAAATTTGATACATTTTGAAAATAATAATAATATCAGTTAATAAACCGATAAATATTAATAGATTTCAGTAAACCTCAAAACATATTAACTCATTGTTAAGTAAATTTAATGACAAATTATGAAACAAATTGTACTAACCTTTGCCCTTAGAAATCAAATATAAATTTCAATTAACGTGTTTTAACATTAATTTCAAGTTTATAATTGTTTAAATGTTAAAGTAATTGGAATTCAAAATATTAAAAACTTACAACATTTTAAAAACAAGATTACAAATCATTTTTATAATAATTAATTAATTAAATTGAATCAAATGTATAATAATCGTATATATCAATCACTAACTATTATTCACTCTATTATCTACAATATATTTAATCAAAAAATTATATACAAAACAAATATTTGCTCTCGTATTGATACAATTTGTATTGTTTTTTCTTATTTATTTTCAGGTAATTGTAAACCAAATACAGTATAAATCAAATGTAAGTTAAATAGATATAACATTAGTGTTATTGTTTAACAAGTGTGTCAGGAATTACAATGAGATTCTTATCCATTTTGAAGCCACAGATCAGTAAATTTGATACATTTTGAAAATAATAATATCAGTTAATAAACCGATAAATATTAATAGATTTCAGTAAACCTCAAAACATATTAACTCATTGTTAAGTAAATTAAATGACATTTTATGAAACAAATTGTACTAACCTTTGCTCTTACAAATCAAATATAAATTTCAATTAACGTGTTTTAACATTAATTTTAAATTTATAATTGTTTAAATGTTAAAGTAATTGGAATTCAAAATATTAAAAACTTACAACATTTTAAAAACAAGATTACAAATCATTGTTATAATAATAAATTAATTAAATTGAATCAAATGTATAATAATCGTATATATCAATCACTAACTATTATTCACTCTATTATCTACAATATATTTAATCAAAAAATTATATACAAAACAAATATTTGCTCTCGTATTGAATAAGTAGTAAAACTAATTGTTTTGCGTTTAAAAATTTATTTGATTTCTATAAAAGCATATATCGTTTTGACTACTAGTCAGTCATTAATTCACAACTCATTCTCAGTTAAATCAATACTTAATTAATAATTATAATTATTACAATGTTTATGGAGTTATAGCCAATGATTTGGGAATGAAATAAGTTTATAAAATGTGCTAGGACATTTTTATATTAAACGATATTTGTCTCTTATTAACCATACTTTTAATTCTTATAATAAACGATTATTTAGGGAATATTTATAAACTTTACAATTATTTTCCCCAAACGATAAATTCATTTTATTTTAAACAAATTTGGTTCTCGTTATCAATCATTAACTTTTAAATATTTTTGTACAAACATTCAAACATTGCATTAAAAATTATTTATAAGGCTAAGGAACAATTGGCATAAATATACCCCCATTGGCCACCTTTGGTATTATCAATCACACTATTTTAACGGGTTTTTTACAACACATTTAACTCTGAGAACTAAATTCAGTTATGCTTACTATTTGAATATATTCTGTATTAATATTAAAAGTATATATAAATCTATTGAATTGCATTGAATCTAACGTGTTATTTAATGAGCATTATATTTGTTGTATAAATATTCATACGTGTATCAAAAAATGCTTGTTAAGCATTAACTTAATATTAATAATAGTAATAATTTTATTTGATTTTTTATTAATTGTCAGTATTATAAACGGTAATAACCGATAGTATAGATATATGTCACGCATTAATGCAAAAAAAGTGTGAAAAAACTAAATTTATATCTAAAAAATGAATTCATTTAATCTATAATTCTGTCGATAGCTTTAGTCGATTGGTTTGATTGTGTACTGTATTGACGTTATCGTCAATAGTAATTGTGCACTGAGTTTGTGTATCACTGGTTTGGTGTTGGCTTTGGTTGGCCACCGATGGCCGGGGAGAAGGCAATGGACTGACAAAGTTCTCATTGGACGCAGTGTTCCAACTGTTTCGCGACGGCTTGAATGGCGAGACATCGCGCGATGAGGTCAGCGATTGGATTGTCAACGAGTTCTTCAGCACACTGTCATCCGAGTTGCTCTCGTTGTCCACATCGATGCGCGAACAGTGGCTGATGCCAGTCATGAATCGCATCCTCTCCTCATGCGATGAACTGATTTATTAGATGCAAGAATTCAGTTACAAATCCACTGATGATAACTAGAAGACTGATTGATTGAATACCTGGAACTGTAGCCTGAATTGGGTGGAGGCGAACCAGAGTCAGTGTTAGCCCACTTGCATAAGAGATCATCCAATAGTGATCGATCGGTTTGTGTTCCCGTAGAAGTCTTATTGAAATATTTTGCACCACAGATATTGGATGTGTTGAGAGACAGTCTGTGTGTCTCTTTGAGCAGTGGTTGACATAAATTGTTTATGTTATTCAACCGAACAGTCGTTTTATTGGGCATTGAATCCCACGACTGATTCAGATTGGGTTCCGTTTGATGATTCGTTTCCTCATTGAAATGCAATATCTTTTGGAGTATAAACATCATTGTCTTCATGTCGTGACTCACTTTGTCCACGTCTTCCGTCAGATGAGATAATTTAGTGTCGAGCTCTTCGACACCAGACTGAGTGACTTTGAGCTGATCCTTGACGTCGACGCTGTCGGCCGACGACATCGATGATGACATTCGTATATTTTTGATGAAATTAATTCTGGGCGTTATGTGTGAGCGCCGATTGGATAGCATCGGGACGTTCTCGTTGTTGGTCTTGTGTTCCCACGGACTGTGACTACTGAAGGCATTGACGGCTGAGGAGGCGGGCGGTGATTGCGGCGGCGAACCGCTGTCGTCGCTATCATCCCTGTTCTCGTGTTCGTCGTCGTCGTCGTCGTTGTTCTCGTCGTCTTCCGAAATGGATGGCAGTGTCAGTGAGTGAGCCGTTTGCAGACCGCTCTCCAACTCGTTGTCATAGCCTTCGCGGAGATTGGATGTCAAGTCGTGAACGATTTCGGTGCAGAAGATTTCGGCGAACTCTGCGTAGAGTTTGAGCACTTCGAGGAGTCCGGGGACGTGAATACTCTTCAGATCGCAATACGTCAACGCCTTCACGTCCGCCGTCGACTTAATCACTCCTTCGAGCACTAGATTGTGGGGTATATCACAGCCGACGAGATCGCCTTTGCCGAGAATGGCGACCACCATATTGTCTTTCAACACTTCCATCGAGCCGTTACACACCAGGTATATGTTGCAGAGGGCGTCGCCCTTATGCAACAGATACTCTTCGGGCGCACAGAAATTGCTTTTAATGTGAAGCGACAAGAGTTTGAGGAATCCCTGCGGAGCCGTCTCGAAGATGGGCAGCGATAGGATCTCTCGGTGCAGATGAAGCGATACATCGCATCGCAACTCATCCGGGAATTCGCGCAAAATCTATCATAAAAGTTATTATTGTTTTTTATGACCAATTTATACAACGAAAGAACGGATTAGTTGTTAGGCTTTAAAATTTTCCCTCAATTTCATCGTCTAATGTGTAGAAAAACATTTTTGCTTTAAATTGAAGAAACATATCTAAAAATTTTTGTTTTCTTTAAATTTACAGAATATTATCATTACTTAAGGGAAATGTTGTCCAAAATGTTGCAAAACATTTATTTTAAGTGCTTCTCAGTCCCACTCAAATGACT